GTGGTGAGTGTTTTGCCCCTGCAAGGAGAAAGGAGTAAGCCGTCATTGGAACGGAAATTATATCTTCCGGTGTCTCTGACAGAAATCTGACCGGGGCAAGATCATGTATTGCTTTAAAAGTAATTAAGATAATTTTAAAAACTATGCGATATTTTATAGGCAACCAGTGTAATGATTTGAGCAGAGGTGTGATATGACAAAATCTGCTCTCCTGGAATATAAGACGTGCAGCTGCATTCTGGACTCTCTGTAATTTGTGAAGATGGCACTCAGGAACTCCAAATAGGAGGCTGTTACAATAGTCCAAGCGGCTAGATATAAAGACATGAATAAGTGTCTCCGTGCGTTCTTTTGTTAAATATTTTCTAATTCTTCTAATGTTACAAAGATAGTAAAACGCTGCAGAGCAAGTCTTGGTGATATGATCAACCATAGATAGGTTTGAGTCAAACCAGACTCCAAGGTTTTTGACAGGAGAGTGCGGAGCTATATTTACTTTGCCAACTTTAATGTGTCCAATATCAACTTTGGCGAGCTGCTGCTTCGTGCCAATTAAAAGAAACTCAGTTTTTTCCTCGTTCAACAATAGTTTATTCTCACGCATCCAACACCTGATCGCCTTAATACAACAATCAATAGCAGTAATGGCATCCAGGTGACCTGTCTCATGTGCAGGGCGGAAGAGACGTAAAGTTGAGTATCGTCTGCATAGCAGTGGACAGATGGAAGATATTTTTCGACGACGTCTGGTAACGAGCTCGTATAGATGGTAAACAAGAGCGGTCCTAAACAGGAGCCTTGGTGTATTCCGCAGTTCAAATCAAACTTTTTCGACGGACACCCACGGACTAATATCCTCTGACTGCGCCCTGATAAATACGAATGGAACCACTTGGACATCCTGCCCCCAAGTCCCAGCGTATTGAGTGCTTCCAGCAAGATATTATACTCGACTGTGTCGAAAGCAGCAATAAGATCGAGTAGCGCTAGAAGGGTTATATGTTGTTTATTCATATTGAGCAGGATGTCATTCTTCACTTTCAGAAGAGTTAGTTTCAGTGCTATGATGCACCCTGTAAGCTGATTGAGCGTTCGGGTATAGATTCGTGTCGACCATGTGTTCGTGTATCTGATGGAAGACTGCTTTCTCAGTGAGCTTCGATAAGAAAGCTAAATTGCTTACCGGTCTGAAATTCTTGAATATGATATCAAGACCAGGATTTTTGAGTAACGGACATACTACTACCTCCTTCCAGGACTTAAGAAAGTGTCCGGCTTCTAATGATTTGTTAATGATCGTAGTAATGATGGGAAGAAGAGCATCACATCTGCTGACCAAGCGAGAGGGCATTGGGTCAAGTGGGCAAGACTTTAATGTTGAGTTATGGATAAGCGACTTAACACTGTTGGCAGACAGGATCTTGAATGCAGATAACGATGGAGTGGACCGAGTAAAGTCATCAGCAAGGGTGGATGCGGAGGCAGGTAAATCTGTAATATCAGCATCGATTTGTCTCTGGATTGTATCAATCTTTGACACAAAATACTTTCCAACTTCGTTTGCAAATTTGGGGGCGTGCAGATTCGGAGGTAACTCATCGCCCTGCGACTGATTAAACAAGCGTTTACTAACACGAAACAACTTTCGCTGATTACAGCTGTTATCCTCGATAAGTTTAGTGTAAAACGCCTGTCGTGCCTTGTTCATAAGATTGTTGATAGCATTGCGCTTAACATTAAAGACAGCCAAGTAGGAATCAAGTTTCGATAATCTCCATCTTCTTTCAGCTTTCCGTCACTCTCTCTTGACTTGTCTGATTTCGTCTG